ACTTACCTTGACGACAATATTAAATCATTAATTTCGCAAGATTGCTTAGATTCTTTCAAGTTCATTCACGGAGCTGATCAAAGGCGTTCGTAGAAGGGTTGGGTATAAACGTGTTTGCGAGAGAAACATTTTTTATTCTATAGCGATCGTGGTAAAAATTCCCAGGTAGTGGTTTTTCCTTTTTAATGTAATAATTGGCATTATTATTATTTAAAAATATAAAGAATTCTAAATAAGTATTTTAATGTTTTAAATTAGAAATAAAAGAGTAACACCATCACGTAAAGTTTGGTTTATATAGAGAGGAGACAGAAAGAAAAGTCTCTCAATCGAGTGCGAAATTTCGCCGAGGGCGAAAGCTCTCGTTTTTTGGGACTCTTTAAGTCCCAAAACAAAGTAATGTGTAAAGTTTTTGTGCAACGATTTGTGAATTATGGGTAATTATCTTTAACTTAATTTTAAAGTGTTTGTTTAATAATAATTAATTGATTTACATATAAATGCCAATTCTACATTTTTGTCCCAATTATCATATTTATCTTATACATATTTTTATTTTATTATGTAGTTAAAGTTTTGCAATGCTATTCATAATTGTTAATAAGTCCAAACTGTCAATCAAATGTTTATCTAGTATCATAATTATAATATATAATGTACATGTACATATAAAATAAATATGATAATCGGGACGAAAATGTAAAATTGGCATTAATATATAAATCAATCAATTATCATAAAACAAAATACTTTAAAAATAAGTTAAAGATATTAACCTTTAATTTACAAATCGCTGCATAAAAACTATACTCTACACAATACTTTGTTTTGGGACTTAAAGAGTCCCAAAAAAACGAGAGCATTCGCCCCCCGGCGAAAGTTCTGGACCTTAGTCCGCACTCGATTTAATATTGGAGCCTTCCGTATACAACAAATAGTCCACCTGAAAAAGAAGATATTTCCCTTTCTCCATTCATATCTCTCTGGAATGAGAACGATATGATTTTTTTACGTTCTCTCAGGGAACTAGTGAGTACACATCATAATTAAATAAATGTATGAGTTTAGATGCATTTATTTACACCTAATACAGTCAAAAATTTTCTTGAATACTGTGTGATCCATAATACTGATAATATCGTTACGTGCATATTTCTTTTCCTGTAATAACTTGGTATAAACCAAAAAAAGTACTAATTTACTTTAACAAAAATAATTTCAGGAATAAATGGATTGAATCTGGCCCAGATATTTCAATGCGATATTGAAAAATGCTCGAACAGTTTCGACCAAGAGACCTCCAAATCATTTTCCTCTTGGCTAAGCCAACATCTGAGGGAAAAAGCCGGACGTAATGCGAAACTTCTCCGGTAAACCGTACAAGTCCGGTCGAATTTATGAATTTCATTTCCGCAAAAGGCTATGAATTACATTTGATCGATACATTTTAGAGCACTCCGGGGAACACAAATCATCGAAAAAATACAGAAAGTTTGAAATCCGTACAATCCATAAAAATTATAGGTGTATGAGGTATCCCCTGAGTTGAAAAGTTTCTGCCTGCCCATTATTCATGGTCGAGATGTGTGCGATCAGTTACACTGTATCAAATAATATATCAAGGAGCGTAAAGGATGTAAGACAGGCAGGAGTGAAAACTTGTCAGCTGAATGTGATGAATCGGTCATGGAAAATAATGGAGTAGTTACGTTAAAAGAGATTTTATTCATTTACAATTTATCTCGTCGCCAGTTATTGGATAAACAGATGGCGAAGTAAAAACGGAAAATAAATTCAATTTGCGTGTTTTTTAATTTAATGTCTAAAGCGGAAAAGTGATAAGCCACAAAAATGGTTAGACATTTTCAGAATGAAGCGTTGCGTCCTAAATCACTGAGACGTGATGAAGTTTATTATAAAAAGAATGGATTCATTGTATTTTCAGATCTCCAAAACGTTTAATAAATCTAAGGATAAAGGTAAAAAAAATAATTTTTTGTTTTTTTTGTAGTGGTTTTAATAAAATGTAGCTTAGCACACCGTTGCCGCTTTCACCAGCTTGAGTGCTAACTGTAATTAAATGAATGTTATGAATGAAATTTGGGAATAAGATCCTAAAAAAACCAAAGAAAAAGAAACAAAAAAAAACTCGTACCTATTTAAAGGTGATTCAATAAATTTTATTAGACATTTAATAGTAGACCACATGCACTTCGAATGTTTCAAATGAGAATGAAAATCATCTTTTTGACATTTTGTGTTCGGCTAGAGATATATTTTATGTATGAGATGGTTGGTCTTTTAAGGAAAATATTGGATATCAAGATTAATTTTTAGTTTGCGATTTTATTATACTCTTCACACAAGTAGTCTGTGAAGAGTATTATGCATTCGCTTCGTCCGTCCGTCTGCCCGTCTGTCCGATGTCACGTTATTTTTTTCCGCACGATAAGTTACAAACGGAGAAAGATATCATTTTGAAAATTTTAGGAAAAATCAAGAGGACGAACCCTATTTATTTTGAAAAATATCTGAATAAAAATGGGATGGTTAAAGGGGGTAGAAACATTAAAAAAATTCTTATCTCAAAAACAAAAAATCAAGCTCAATAAGAGGATGAAGCTTATTGATTTTGAAAAAAATCTAAATTTTAATGGGGGGGTTGAAATATTTAAAAAAATCCTAATTCGAAAACAATATATGATATCAATTTGATATTTTTTAGCAAAATCAAGCTATATAAGAGAAATAAGCCTTTTGAATTAAAAAAAATTAATCAAAATGTGGGGGTTAAGGGGGGTTGAAATTTAAAAAAAAACGTCATAAATTAAAAACAAAAAGCAATATCAACATGAATTTTTTAGTAAAAAGCTCTATAAAAAGATAAAGCTTATTGATTCTAAAAAGAAATCTAAATCAAAATAAGGAGTTAAGAGGGGTTGAAATATTTTAAAAATTAAGCTCTATAAGGGCAAAATCCCTTTAAATTTGAAAAAACCCAATAAAAATTGGGGTTATTGAAATTAAAAAAAGAATCAACTCGAAAACGAAAAATAATATTAACTTAACAAAAATAAAACAAAATGGGGTGTTAAGATGGGCTAAAAAAATATAAATATAACATCAAAAATGATATCAACATAAAATTTTTAGTAAATATCAAGCTCTATAAGGGAATCAAGCCAATTGATTCTGAAAAAAATCTGAATCAAAATTGGGGGATAAAGGGAGTTGAAATATTGAAAAAATCCTAACTTAGAAATAAAACAAAAACGATATAAAATTGAAATCTTGAGGAAGTTATGCCATTATGTTTTATAGATTTTATGTTAAATTTTAATTACTAAAGTCATTCAAAAGAGCAAATAATACAGATAATGAAATTTTTATAAAATTTTCAGTAGTTCTTGCTAGAAAAAAACGTATTTCACTATTAAAAAAGGTTTTTAGTCTAACATGTCTGTTTCCGGGAAGATATTTTTTTTGTTTGTTTTTTTTGTTTCTTTGTTTTTTTGTTTTTTTTACCTTACTCTTCGAATTTTTGTGCTATCATGTTAATCCGTTTATAGCGTAGGAGGGGCACTACAGCACGCGACTTGCCATTTATTCACTCATTTATCATCCCAGCTATCACCCATCCATGACGTGACCGAAGACCGGCGAGAACTAGGGTGTACACTAATCTTAAAACTAGCCTCTCCGGTTTTATATTGTTATTTTTATCTAAAAGCCCAGATTCTTGAGGACGAAGTATCTTTACTTTACTGGGGTTTGGTTGATTATTTTTTTTTATTCGCTTTTTTGGGTAGATAGTTTCCTTATTTTTTCTGTTGTAATATGGACCATGATCTAAAGGAATCAACTCTTTCAACTCTTGTCATTTCGTATAATTTATTTTTATTGATTCTTTCCTAAATTGTCGGAAATCTCTCTGCCTTATTTTGGCCTTAACTTTTATGATTACCAAGAATATGCAATGATTTTGGTCACTGCCGATTATCAGTTTGGAATATACTAGAACCAGGTCAAGGCACTTCAGAGATTCGAGTAGAGTGTGTAAAATGGCGAATATGAATGTTCGCAAATCAACCATAAGTTACAATTGAACATACCAGCGCTCATTTAAGTATATAAATGAGTAATTTGCTATCGGAACAGTTAGTTGATAGAAAGATATTGTTGTGTATATAAATTAATTGTGCTGATATAGAAGTTTGAGATAAATTATTGTGAAGTTGTAAATAAATAAGAGAATAAAGTTGAAATTAAATAAATTGTTTAAAATAAATAAACGTTACAATATGCAACTGTGGAATTTATTATGCACAGGACCTAAAACGAATGTGTGTGAATTGATATCACTGATCGATACTGATTGGCACTGATACTGAACTGACACAGCACTGATGTGTGTGAATGGACCTTAAGAGTCACATCAGTGTCAGTGGTTTTTCTTACATCATTTACCCACGTATTGGATATTTAACTTTACTCCACAATCTAGACATCATTATATTTCATTACCATTTACGAAGCCCGGCCTTTTAAATACTATTATTCTATTTTATACTATTCGTTTAATATTCCTACACTCTCACACTTAGCACTACACCACGTATTTTGACCACATTAACATGGAGGTAAATCACGTATAATTCTTCATTATTTTTATTCAGTACCAGCAACTTCTTTTGAACTATTTGTCTTATGTTATAGGAATTATTTAATTGAATCGTTTATTTCAGAAAGGGACCAACATTTTCGGCATTTTGGAGTTTTTCAGCTCGTTACATTATTTTAAGGTAAATGCATCTTTTAGTGCAGAAAGAGGCCACCTTCCGTAAATACAGTGCCCGTAAATTTGACCTAGTTTTAAGCATTTATTTGAGAAAGTTACCAAGTGACATAGTTGGTCCTCTTCCTAAATAAATGGTTACTAGCGCCACCGTGGTTTATTTTAGCATCAACGCCATCAGCTGTCAAGTAGAATTAACCTATAAAAATGTTATTGTCATAAAATTGTTGTGTCAAAGCGTATATTTAAAATATTCTCTAAGAAAATAAGAATTATGGGTGATACCGACGATACCCAGATTGAAAGGTCAGTGAAAGAAACAAAGAAAAAGAACGAGGGGTTAGAAATGACAAAAAATATAAAAGGAATGTTATCAAAAGGTGCAGAGTTCAGGGGAAGGCTTACGTAAATTACAAGGAAAATGCTGTAGATGCAAGAAAGCTTGGAGACGGATACCAGCAAGTTTGCAATCAGCAAATTCTTTCGGTAAATATGTACTGACCATTATTTTTTTTAGTTGTACAATGAATTGCTTTGAACAATTGAACGCTGATATAAAAAATGCGCTTTTTACTCGTTTTCATGCCCTTAGAACTAAGGATGATCAGGACATATATTTGCAAGATCTTTTAGACGTAGTTAACATTAAAAGAAAATCTCAACCACAAAATCCAGAGAACTCAAAGGGAAAAACTTGTTCCTTCCATCATTATGTCCCAGTTGATGGTAAACGAAGAAACGTCTGTCAAAAAGTATTTCTTAGTTTGTTTAATATTGGCGTCAAAAGGTTGAAGCGTTTAAAAGGTCTTCTAAAACAAAAAATAACTCCATATGACAAGCAGGGACAAAATATAAAAGGCAATGCTATTTCAAAAGAGATCAACGTACTAATTCGCCAGCATATTGAATCATTCCCTGTTAAGGAAACTCATTACAGCAATAAAACCTATCTATATCTTGATGCTAAACTCAATATGAAAATTATGTTTGATATGTTCAAAGTAAAGTATTCAACAACCAAAATTCGATATTCTTACTTTGTGAAATATTTTCATGAGTATTTCGACATTCACTTTGGCCGTCTACACGTAGACACTTGTTGCAAGTGTGAAGAACTGCACCTCAAAATAAAAAGTTCCTCGCTAGGAGATGCAGCTAAAAGAGGAGCAGTAAATAAAAGAAGAGCAAAAAAGTTTTATTTGTCGTTGAAGGAATCTACTGATGAGTGCAAGATTCATGATGACCTGGTCGTAATAACATTTGACTACATGCAGAATGTTCACTTACCTGAAGTTCCAGTCCAGGATTTATTTTATCTAACACAACTAACAGTCAGTATTTTTGGTATACACGACTGTAAGACTGGCATTCTTTTATATTTACCATGAAGGTGTTGTCAATAAGATACCAAACGAGGTATGCTTGTTCCTGTGGGACTATATTCAACGTGAAATTTTAGAGAATGTCCAGGAATTACGTCTCTATAGTGATAATTGTCCCGGGCAAAACAACATAATACGCGTGTGTGTAGCATTAGTTGAAACTAAGATTTAAAAAGTGGAACAATTTTTTCCAATCAGGGGGCATTCCTTCTTGCCTAATGACCAAGACTTTGGTGTCATTAAACGACGTTTAAAGCGATCCGATCGTATATTTTCTGTTCACGAATACACTGAAATATTAATAATAACTTTAAGTGCGCAAAAAAGTTTTACTGTCATGGAAGTTTCAGAAGAAATCATAGATTTTAAGCAATGGTGGCCCAAATTTTATAAAAAAAAATGTTATGTCTCTGGAAACTTCAGACAAAAATACACCCAGGGCACAAAAGCAACCCTTTTTTGTATTGCAATTTTGCCATTTTCGTTGTAACTCAGAATCTCCTGGATATGTCATGTGCTCAAATTTATTGGAGGTCAGACGAACCATGCTTTTAAGATCCATATGCCAAGAAATTTCGAAAGAGATCCTCTTAGAATGCCTAAAAAAAACCGCATCAATAGAAAGTTCCAATATTGGAAACAAAAATAACGGATATCGGTAAAGCGATGTCATACGTTCCAGAGGAATATCACCCATTCTATCAAGATATTTTGGAATGGCCTACAAAAGTTTCCAAAACAAAGCGATTGCATTACAAGCTTAATACAAATTATGTTACAGTTTTCAATAAATCTTTACTGTTTAAACATTAATATTGTTTTTATTGGGGGTAATTCTTAGAAAAACAACTCTCTCTTTAATATTTCAGAGATAACGCCAAGTTGATTTCTTAAAAAAATACCTGTTTTAACATAAAAAACATCTAAGCAACTCTATCTTGAACTAATTATGTCAAAAAAATAGCATTATCACATTTTATTAAACTACAAATAAGTTCTTACTCATTTTTCCAAAAGTAACAAAATGTTAGTTAATGTTCCACTCTTTTAAATCTATTGGTTTCAATTTTCTGAAATAAACGATTAAGTTGTTTTAACTACTACTTGTAATGCCCATCGACTTGACCTTAATCTATAGTACCTAGTTATAGTATGAGTTAATTTTTTTAGGTATGTTACTATCTTGTAATTTTGTATATTATCTAAATCTTTTGTATCATCCTTTGTTGAATTTTAGTTAATAAAAAACGTTTTATTTGGTACTGATTTGGAGATCAAAGGGAGGCAATGCTCAGTACGTGCTCAGTCTGGAGGGTAATTTGTTGTACCGAATAGATTAGAGAGTTTTCAAGGTTTATTTTGCATAAAGTGGAGACAGGAAAAGGTTTTGCTTGTCCTGGATGTATATAATCAGCGAGATATTTAATGGAGAGCAAGACAAAATAATAAAACAAGCACTCAACTACCAAACCTCCATTTTTGTTTTAATTATACGAGTGTTATGGGTGTACGGTTCCGTGCTCGCGAATTTACTGGATCAGTAGCGAACAGTGCCTCGTGCGTCTACCATTCGTATGTACAAAATGCGCCGCACTAGGCATTCGGTTCAGCCTCGAATTGCCTCATACGCGTATGTGCTCAGATCTGTACCCGCCTTTAGATATCCTTACTTTACGTGGCAGCTATACTGAAGGATTAAACTCGCCTCGTTGGCAACCTCGGTTGCCAAGCAACATTATTTATATACACTGTCAGTTATAACTTTTACTTGTCACTTTATTTTAACATTTATTTGATAGGACCTTTTAAACAATAAGCTCCCAGTCTGGTGATTAATCAAAAATATACATCTCCAAATATTTATCTACAGATGGGATCAAATCAAAACTTGAGACCCCATACCCACTGTATCTAGGCAAAATAAAATTGACTGGTGAAATTAGTGCCTTAACACCAAAACTAGACAATTGTGAATTGGCAAAATGTTCTTTTTTCGAATGAGATAAGAAATGGCCTAAGATCAGATGATCATCGAATTTTTGTTTTCAGAGCTCCAGGAAGATGAGAATTACTCCACGCGGCCAGACCTGTCCCAATATATTAAGAAGGAACTGTAATGTTCTGAGGAGGTATTATGCTGGGAGCAAATACTCTACTGTTACCACTTCAATAAACTTTAACAGGTCCGAGGTATGTTGATTTACTGCTAGAACCAATCGTTAGGGTTTGGATAGCTGCAATTGGGGATAATTTTATCTTTGCACCTCCCCATATCAGCAGAGTGGCCAGAGAATGTCTTGAAGCGAAAGGCATCAGTTTTAGACCGGCTTGCATGTTCACCAGACCTAAAGCCTATCAGATACTTTTGGAACCAGCTCAAAAGAATGAATAGAGCTCGTCGAAACAATGCAGGAAATGTCGCACAGCTTATTGATGCAGCATTAGCAGAATGGGAGAATATACCCAAAGACAATGTTGGCAATTTATTAAGACGCATGCCAAGGCCGAATATAAGCTTACATAAGGGCTAAAGGATTGTTAAAATTAACAATTTTCTTTTCGGTTTTGCTTTTCGACTATCAAAAATTTAAATCTTATTTCATTTCAGAAACCAAAAAAATACCATTGTATATATTTTGTCAATTAATTATTTTTATTGCCATGCGGTTTATTCTTCATTCAAAGTCTTTGGTAAGGACAAAAAATGTTTATACATCTCAAAAATTATGAAAAATAATAGATGATTCCCTATAAGTTTGGTTGTGTGTATATAAATATGCAAGTAATTGCACTAAGAGTAAAACATAAAAACTTCTGGTTGATTATATTATTAAATTGATATGGTGAGTATCTTAGCGATGGTTGGAATGAACCTGAGTTGTATGATTTTTAAAACAAAAAATAAACATGGACGTTCAAGACACGAATTATATTTTTATGGTAAGTGATCTGTTAAAATTTATCAGCACCGGTAAAAATCAGTTTATTCACACATTTAATAAATTTAAGTATCTACCTGCTCGGAAGCGAAACTGAATTTATATTTTCAACTAAAAGACACTCGGGGTTTCTAAAAACGCTCGTGATTCCATTCCGCCAAACAATCTCAGCCTGATATCGTCTTAAACTATTCTCGACATTTGTCCTTTGTAAATAAATTCAAGAGGAAAATTGTTCAAAATTGCAATTGTTCAAGCAAAAGTAGATGGAATATATACATGTATCGTTCCGGTTTTGAAGGCAGCCGTACTTGCATTTCCGGAAACATCAAAGGACTTCAAGTAAAGCAAACTCGACAAAAGTGACAACAAACCGCTTCTAAGATATGAAACTATACATTTTACGAAATTGGTTTAAAGGAAATTGCGTAGGAAATATAAAATATTTAAGGCAATACCTGATGGAAAGCAGCCTCAGGACACTTTTTAGGTAAATAGACCGAAATATTTTTTTTGTTTTGTTCAGATATTTAGACTAAAAATACAAGCATAATTTAATGTATACAGAAATCATTGCTAACAAGTTTCAATAATGAAAAGTTACATGGATTTGAAAGAACATATTTTTATAGACATTTTTTTAATTTTCAGATTATTGCGCCACTATTTTATTTCAGTTTTAGAAAATAATTTTTTTTGTGAAACTAGAGAATGATAAATAAAATTATCACAAGTTGTATAAGCAATGAGACTTATACCTAATGAACTATTCTAACGAATAGTGATTATAAAAATGGTTTATTTTATGCCGAGAGTTTTCACTAATTTTAAGTTTAACTTAATTAATTTTTTCAAATGCGGCATCCTATATATAATTTAAGCATAACTTGCCTATCTAACGATACCATATTTTTTTAAGAAAAACTAAGTACCCGGAACCTCGTAAAGCTGGTAAGTAGTAAAAAGGCCACAATAGCCCTAATTGTATGCAGAAACATTGTAGGCAAACGATGGGGATGTAACCCAAACATACTGCGATGAATGTTTACTGCAATAGTGAGACCAATTATCACTTACGGGGCTATAGCCTGGAGTAACAGAACTAGTTTAGCTACTACTAGAGTTAATATCTCAAAAGACTAGCCTGTGTTTGCATTACTGGTGCAATGAGAACCTGTCCTACGGCCGCAATGGAGGTGATCTTAAACCTCACCCCTCTACATTTGATGATAGAAAATGTAGCAAAAAGGACACGATATAGAATCATCAGGAACGGAGTAATCAGACGAAAGTCTACTTGCTTCAGGACTAACGATACCTGGGACATGCCCCAGGATGAAATGTAAAAGAAGTACACTTTTGTGAAAAACTTCAAAACCACAAGAAAGAATGGAGCCAAGAATCAATCGCACTTGCAACCGAAATACGTGCTATTCAGTGGTATACGGACGGTTCCAAAACCATAGAAGGAACTGGAATAGGAGTATATGGGCCGAGAACCAAGCACTCCGTAAGCTTGGGAAAATACCCAAGCATCTTCCAGGCGGAAATTCACGTCATCGAGAAGTGTATCCAGTTTAACATCGAGAGAAACTATCATAGACAAGAGATTATCATCATGTTCGATAGCAGCCATCAAAGCGCTGAGATCTTACGTAATCAGCTCAAAAATGGTCTGGAGATGCCTAGAACAATTGAATGAGCTAAGCGAAAAAAATAGAGTTACTCTCACTTGGGTCCCGGGATATAACGTGGTACAAGGTAACGAGATTTCACATAGTCTTGCAAGGAAAGGGGCTCAAACACCCTTTGTAGGACCTGAGCCGTTCTGCGGTATCAGCAGTAACATAATATTAGGAGAGATTAAAAAAGAATTCGGCAGTAGACGAACCGATAATTGGAACAATCTCTTGGGGCTGAGACAGGCCAAGATACTTCCGGGTAAATATAACCAGAAAATATCGGAAACCTGCATCTGCCTGAGCAAGAACAGGGTACGTATTGTAACAGGGATCCTTACCGGGCATTGCCGACTACAAGGACACCTAAGTAAACTGAGAGTAGTAGAGGATAGTGAGTGCAGATTCTGTGAGGAGGAAGACGAAACCTCTATTCACATCCTGACTAAATGTGTAGCACTACAGAATCCAAGGGCACTATAACTAGAAGGATATCAAATAGAAGAGGGAGATTTACCTAACTTGAAGCCACTTCAAATCCTACACTTCCTTGAGAAAATAGGATTGGAATGGTAGTTATAGGCATTGAGACATTTTCTTGGTGCATTTACGACAGAAGGGAGCAAAATAGATCTTTTAGGTCGCAGTGTATTAACACCTCGTTCCCAACATAATATAACATAAAACTGGTAATGTTGCTTTTGAATAGGAATAATTTTTTGGTCAAATACTATTTACTAATGAACCTACCCTCCATATTAACGGTTTTGTGAATGGACATAATTTTCATTATTACAGCATAAACAGCATAAATATGAATTTCGAACTGATGGTCGTTAAACGTTTATGGTGAATGATAGGAAGACAGTTGGTGGGGCCCTACTTTTTTATAGTCATTTAAATGGAAGAATATTTTTAAAATATTGAATAAAGATTTATGGAACCTTCTAGAGCAGTGTTTTTCAACTAGATTTACTCCAAGGACCGGTAAACTTTTTTAGTATATTCTAGCGGATTTGAAAAATTGCATCGAGAATAAAACTACTAGAACTTAAATAAAACTCCAAGAACATTATAATATGAACGATATACGATTATATACTAGCAAAAACAACAACGTATCAAAATGTAAAAATCAGAAGGGCGCTGCTGGGCTCTGTTGCTGACTAAAAGTGTTAATCCTAGGCGTTAAATCAGTTACAGCAACACGTAAAGTAGGCGCAAGAGCAAGTCGATTGCGATGTTTGGTCTTAAAAACACATAACCGAAAATGTAGTTTCAATCACATAAGTTAAGGACGCGACTCTGTTGGAACATAACCTGATGAAGGATGTGGTGAGATGAGATTTGGGCGCGAGATGTCGCTTTTGGCAGAAGGCGCTCGGTGCGCTTCCACTACTTCATATCATATCATAGATATTTGCAGTCTACAAATACACACTACTTTAGCATACCACCAAGAGAATATTGTTATTACAAAAATACATTTTGGCTAGGTTTGATCTAAAAATACTAAAGAAGGTATTGTTGATATGCAAATGGGGTTTTGATCGCTCCTCTGGACAAAAAAAATGTTAAAAATGAATATGATATTAATTCAAGAGCATTTGTAACCTGGCTGATCCTATAAAACTAGTATGTGAAAACTTTAAATCCGAAGACTCGAAACAAGTTATTTGGAAAAATCCCTGTTCGTCTTCTCCGCGATACAGTCGCCCTATCTGGATTCAGTTTACTTCGGAAACCACAGAAACATCTAAACAGGAGCAAAAATTTATTGAGAATCAGATTGATAGTCTTCGGGAAACAACTATTAAAATTAGTAACATATCTTAATGTGTTAAATACATCTTAATTTTTGCCATGATTGATGATAAAATACGAAATGCGTTAACAAATAACAAGAGTACGCAAAAATGTTATATTTGTTCTTCAGAACAAAAAGATTTTAATAACATTAATTACTGATGATTTTAAAACCTTGCGATACCTCTTTATACCGTTTTGCCATCCCCGTATTGCACTTTCGTATCCGATTTTTTGAGTATATTTTGCAGCTTTCATATAAACTACCAGCAAAATGTTGGTAAGATAGAAACGCTACTGATAAAGAAAAATTTTTTGAAAATAAAAATAGAACTCAACGAAACTTTAAACAGGAATTAGGATTAATAATATAATTGATCAACCAAAACTGGTACCTATACAGGAGTAGCAATGACGGAAATATATCATGACGTTTTTTTGAGAATCCGGAAGCCTCCTTTAAAATAACACAAATTGATTTAGATGTGTTATTTTGGAAGTAATTACCAGTTATCATTACATTAATGCGTATTTATTTAAAATGTATTGCATAAAAACAGCACAATTACTTATAGATAAATATCCTTGGTATTGTAATGACGCCAACAGTTCATTTAATTTTAATTTACGGTGCAGACATTATTCGTTCCGTTCTTCTTCCAGTTGGCCAGCTCTCAGAAGAGGCTGCAGAAAGTAGAAACCATGATTTTTAAAAATATCGAGAAAGATTCGCTAAAAAAATAGCTCGAAAGAAAACTAATGAAGATATTTTCAAGAGGCATCTTCTCTCTTCAGATCTTGTTATTAGTGGTATTAAAAAAACTAAAAAATTAAATAGAAAGAATTTTTCTAGTGAAACTTCATTCATGCTTCTACCTCAGGATGTTGATGACCAAATTAGTCATGTTTCTGATAGTGACAACTCTTTAAATTGTAATTTTATTTAAATATTAGTTTTAAGTAATTTTTGTTCGATTGAGTTACAGACCTTAGTTTATTGTTTCTATTTTCAGTTAATACATTATCAAACCACCGATATATTATTATGAAAGCCTTTTAATTAAAAAAAAATATATAGTATTTTGATAATGTTTGAAGTATGTCCTGTAGCAAAATATTCTGTTGTTTTATTTATTTTTTTTTAATTTCGCCACTCTTGAATTTAATTTATCTTCAACAAATAATGTTATTTCAAGGAGGGATAATTTTGTTATAAAAGATAGTAATTAATATATCTACTAATACCTACTAAGCTGTATTACTACTTGAATTTCTCACAACTTTTTAAGGAAATGCCTGTACCTACTTTAAAAGGTGTCAATTATAATGAGACCCTATATAATGTCAATTATATTTTTGTTTATATTAGTTTGTTACATTTAAATTTTAAACACATTCCAGAATACAAAAGTATAAGCTTTAATTCTTTCAAGAATTGTTGGCAAGTTTTGACACTTTTTGCCCCTGTGTACGTCGTAACATTGTGCTTTGTATAATAGGGACATCTTACGTAAAAGTAAAATAGGCAGTTTTTTATGGACTACTCTTTACAACGAAACAAGATCATAATATAATTAAAACTTAAAAGTAATTTAATTATAAGAAATTTTTGAAAGCGACTTCTCAAGATAACCCCTGAAAATTGGTAAAGAAAATGTCACTTACCTTTCTGTCGCGTCTCCTTCGGCCCTTCCTTGTCCTGCATGGCTAAGCACGTACACTCTGTTGGCGTCTTTGTACCACTTTACGCTGTGTAACTGTCCACATCGCTTAATGTCAACCCTACAAGGCAGGGCCACCGCGTCCCCGATGAATGCTCGGACATCGGTCTCAGTTGCCACTGGAAAGGAAACCAAATTGGAATGAGTATTTTCAAACTTTTTGATATGGATAGAATAGATAGGCCAGTACTTATAACAAGAATATATTCTTTATTTAAATTTTTAGAATGCGAAGACAGTAGAAATAATACAAATAAATCTACAGATATAACTCTATGAATATCCGTATTGGGTCCATGATGTACATGAAATCAAACTAATCGCCATAAAATATCCATTGCTATCCATTGTTAAATTTAATGAATATCCAGTTATCCTCGCAAAGCAGTGGACCTCTTAGCAGAGAGTAGACCAAGTTAGATATTTGAACTGTTTATTAAAAAGAAAATGAAGCCTTGTTTATTTGAAAAACACTCGAAAAATTCACTGAATAACTCTTATATCTTAACAGAAATCAATCGAACTGGCCTATTACTAACTTTCCATATAGAGATCTTCAGAAATCTTTCTTTACAAACTACTTGGCGAATGTTTTCCGACAGATCGAGTCACTCTCTTAACGAAATACCAAACCAAGCTACCATGCACTTTTTGCACATTATTTGATGTTTACCTTTCGATGCTCCATAGAAAGTTTGCAAAGTCTAATGGATGTTATTGATGTTAATTTGATGCCCAATCGATTTTTAAAGGTAGGATAATCGGAATTTCTTGCATCGAGAGTATTAGAGTGCAATTTCAGACTGATATTGAATTTAAAACAACTTTTTTAATTTATACTAGCGGGAGCTTAGCCATTCATTTCTTATAAGGACATCAGCTCATTAAAAAGTCAAATGCTTATTTTTATTTAATATAAGTTTATAATTTAAATATGATTTAATAATACTTGTTTTTTGTAATTTTGTAGATGGGCGATTCTTGCATAACTGTGATTTTTTATGTCCAGTATTTTATTTATTGTTTGGCATAAGTTTTCCTCATCAAAAAGTTATTAATATTGTAAATTTAGAGGTATTTTACAACTGACATTATGAAATAGATCATAAACCTTCGCAAATTTTTTTTAAGCTGCACCTAAATATACTCGAAATGTCAGTACCGTGGCATGTCCGATTCTTATTTTTAAAATTAAATATATAAATTTCTATCAAAATTAATTTTTTAATATAAAATATACCTCTTATAATTACAATCTAATGCATACTGCATTGAATTTTATTGCAATTTTATACCAATCTTTCGATTAGTAAAAAAAATAATCATTTATATGTCAGTACCGTGGAAATAATGTCAGTACCGTGGCATTAAACTTTTGAAATTTTGTGTTGTAGCTGTAGTAAAACCAGTTCACAGGCTTAATTTTGTGAATAAATAAAAAATAAAAACGCGCAGAACAAACGTTTTAAAACATTTTAAATGTTAGAAAAATTTAAATTGTAAAAATCACAGTTACACGAGAATCACCCAGATACGTTCGTCTATTTTGCCTCATTTTAGTCTTAGTTCTTCTTATTCTTGGTACATTTCTCTTAATTTCAACTAGAAACTCTACAGAATTCAGATAAATGTTCTTTGAAACTTACCTTAATACATCCTAATCCACCTTTTACCAACAAGTATTAGAAATTAAAAATTTAAAAAAACCGACTTCAAAGAACGTGCCAAATTTATACGGAACCACCCCTGAGGTACCCCCTTACTAACAAAAAAAGAATCATATAAATCGGACAAGGTGGTAAAGCATTATCGCTAAACATACATAAAAACTGAAGAGTTTGAGGATTTTCTCATTAACCCAATTATTAGATTTTGACCAAATATATATGGGACCACCCCTGAAGTACCCCCTTTCTAACGAAAAAAAAATCATTGAAATCGGACACCGTGTTAAAGAATTATCGCTGAACATACATTAAAAAAAAAATCGCAACGAATTGAGAACCTCCTCCTTTTTTGAAGTCGGTTTAAAAATAAATGAAAATAAATCCAAATTTAAATGTGTCCTTAACGTAAAATAAAGGGTAAGAGAATTACGGAGCCATGTTTCACAAAATAATATGAGCGACCATTTCTTTCCGGAAAACAACTACATAAAGAAAAAGAAAATCCCAAGCTGTATTTTACAAAATAATATGAGCGACCGTTCTTCTCTGGAAAATAACTGCTCCTTTGGCTAATACCATAACAGGCATTGGTTTGTATCCAAAAGAAATAAACAGAAATACTTTTTCGGCAACCATGTAGAATAAGAAATCATAAACCACGTTTCTTTATATTTATTTGTAGAACAAAATTAGGAAAGAAAATTATAATTCTAATTGGCAATCTTAGCAATTTTATTTTCTCTTGTAAATTCATTGTCTGTTCTTTAGTGATAATTATTATATAATTAGTAATATAATCATCTAACTTAATTTTGTACGAAAAAAACCATTTGTTAAGAACAATTAGGCCATCATTTTGTACATATGTTTATAAAAATTAAAATATTACGACTTTATAATATCATTTTATTAAATTATTTTGCATTTGCAGAAGAAACAGTAATTCATCATCATCATCAAGAATTTTTTAAACAAACGAGGTACAATTTTAATAATAATCATTAAAATATCTCATGTCAAATTTATTAATAAAAAATACTGAAAATGCGTTAACTAAAATATCCTTCCAGAATGTAATTGCGTTGTTCCGGTTTATAAAGTGCTTCTCAATTTTTAAAACTTTTTTGCTTATGCATTACCATTCTAATTGGATTTTTTCATGCATGCTAACGCAATAGATTATCCTTTAATTTGAAACAATCATTCAGCAACTAAACACTGCATTTCGTCGTAAAACTATTTTGCAACTGATGTGTATGAACATTTTTGTTGTTGGTTTTGAACGCCGGGATATCGTCATTTTGATGCGATATTTAAAGCGAGCATCACCGTACTGATAACAAATACGTAACAACACGTAATGTTAATTTAGAATGACCTGTCTGATTTTAATTAGTTCGTTTATCTCGTTCGTTTTGGTTAATTACAAGTTTAAATGTTTACTGACTAGATGCACGAAAAGATTTTAATATTGTGAATTTGAAAATCAAAATACTCATTGAAAGTATCGCATTAACAAACAGGAATTGAATCTATAGTACTATTCACTTTGCAGAGCTGGATGGAACTTGTACACATGCAAAAATAGGCTCAATATGGTTGTTTGGCAGAAATTCTCGGATGGCAATAAATAACAAGATTTTCATATAATTATTGATGTCATCCTGTAATATAGTTCAGAAATTAATTATATTTTTTGCGAGAAAGACTTAAGGTATGCGTATTTTTTTTTTCTCATACAGAATCCAATGAAGATAGTAACACGCTGGTTTAAAAATACAATAATATATAATTTTGTTTATTGGATATACATATTACCAGCCATCTTCTGATAAAAAATAAAGTGGCAACACTGTCGGACGTCGAAAAGTTGTTGTTGTTATGGATATGTATATTGTTAAGGCCGTAGAAATAATAGCAGTTTAGAAAGTATATTGTGGAAGTCGAAAAGATAGTACGCAGAATAGCAGTGAAATATAAAATAAAAAAAATTTTGACGTTAAATGTATACTTATTTTAATATACTTTGCAGTTTAATGTACGGGATGTTCTATCTGACAAACCTTTTTTTTTTTTTTTTAATTGCTGTTGGATATGTTTTCCATTTAGCCAGAATCAATAATATTAAGTTTTATCGTACCTGTCTATTAACCCTATCTATTCCAGAAAAAGAAAGCCCACCCCACAACAAGGAGTATGGAATTGGGTAAACACATTTCACACCCAGGGGTCTATCAGGGTGACTGACATACAGATTGAAAGGACCTCGGTTAAGAAAGGTTGTACAATATTTAGGTTGACAAAAATAAAGGATACAAAACTAACCTATACTATAATTTTAAGCCGCAAGCTTTGATAAAACCCAATAGGGCTTCATATACTGCTGAATCGTTCAGCGACAAAAGGTACATTAAGTTAAATGGGGCTAAAATGCAATTTGCTAGTAGCTGGTTAAAAAGTTGCTGTGTTTGAATGTTATACTTTCTGCAACTGAAAAATATATGATCCAAATCACTAATCACACTACAACTGTCGCAAAGGTTGGTGTCTATAACTTTAATTTTGTGTAAATGATAAGGGTAGCAAGCATGTCCAAATTTAATTCTACTGATCGTTACAATACTATTTCGTGGGTACTTTAAATTCTTATGCCACAATTCGTTAGGTATAACTGGGTGGAGTAAGGTGTAACGGGTTGGTTTGTTTCTACAATATTAAATCCAGTACAGGTTCCATCGTTCTTTTAACTTCTTTGTAGAATGACTTATGCATTCGTCAATGCTAATATTATTTTTAAGAATTTGGCCAGTATCGATGCTTTCCTTTGCTAGTTTATCGACTGTCTCATTAAAATGTAAGCCGATATGTGCCTTTACCCATAAGAACTTTATATCAAACTGTATTTGTTTTAATTTGTTGATTTGTAATTTTAACTTGATAATAGAAGCGTTTTGGTTGGGTGCTATAATGTCAATAGCTTCAGCTATACTTTTGAGGACAGAGAGTGAATCAGATAATATGATTACCTTTTTAAAGGAATGATGTTCGGCATATTCTAGTGCCTGAATAATCCCAATGGCTTCAGCAGAAAATATTGAGGTAAATGCATTTAATTTATACTGTTATAAAACCTGTTATAAAAATAAGTCTATATACCTTACTAGACGCAGAATAGTAGGAAAGTGTAAAGACGCAGAAAAAATAGCATGATGTATATATGTATATATACGTTAAATTAGAATCTGAAAATTAAATCTCTAGTGATATTAAATAGGTTAATGTGTGTATTACATGTTGAGTAAAATATAATTAGCATCATCAGTGGTCTTTTAAAAATTAAGTACTTTTTCATATTTCTCTAATTTTGAATATAAAATAAAAAGAGTGCAGTATATCTGTAGAACTGCATTAGAACCTAAATTCGATATAGAACTCTCATGTTCTAAATTAAA